TTCCCATATATCAATCATTTTTACAATTTCCCATATATATCATTTTTATTTTCCCATATATCAATCATTTTTACAATTTCCCATATATATCATTTCCATCTTCCCATATATATCAATTTTATTATTTTCCCATATATATCATTTCCATTTCCCCATATATATCATTTTTACAATTTCCCATATATCAAATCATTTCCACCGTTCCCCCCCTCGTATACCGTCCTCACCAGCCCACCATCCGCCCGCGGCCGGGGAGTGAGCTGTCCGTCCCGGGAGGCAACCAAGCCCGCCTGGCTCCGCCTTCCCACCCCAAACTCCTTTTTCTTTTTTGTTTTTTGTCTTCCGCAGAGAGTCAGGTACCTGGTGACCCCCCGGGAGCCCAACCGTTGGGCGGTGCAGCGCGAGGGGGCCCTGCCCTTCAGCTCGGGGCCCCTGGCCATGAACGGGACCCTCATGAAGCCCACACACATCCTCGTGGAGACCATGATGTGAGCTGTCACTCTCCCCTGGTCGCCGTGGGAGACCGCCGGCTGCTCACCGATAGATTCTCGTAGGACCAGGTTTACAGAGCTTTATAATAATTGCACTAGAATTATTATTATTTTTAGGGGAGGGGGGGAAGAAAATAATTGTCACAAAAAAGAGAGAGAGAGAGACAGAAAAAAAAAAAAATCTGTCCTCGTGTGCGTGTGCATATGCGTGTGCATATGCGTGTGCGTGTTTTGTGTTTTTTGGATCCCCGAGGGAGGGTGGATATTTTGTACAAAAAAGAAAAAAAAAAAACCAAAAGTACAAAAACAACAAAAGGAAAAAAAAAAAAACAACAGACAAAAACAACCCAGAGACAAAAAAATAACAACAAAAAAACAACAGACAAAAACAACCCAGGGACAAAAAAATAACAACAACAAAAATAAAAACAGACAAAAGCAACCCAGGGACAAAAACAACAACAACAACAACAACAAAAAAAAAATGAAAAAAAAAAAACGTCCCGGGATGGTAGAGACGAGATTTTTTTCGTAACCGGATTATATTATTAGATGTATTTTATGGGGTTTATGTGTGTGTGAGGGGGGAGAAATTTGGTAAGCTTTTTCTTTGTTTTGTTTCTTTTTCGGTTTTTTTTTTTTGTAACATATGACTATATATATATATATATATATATAGAAAGAGACACTTTGAGATTGTCATATATACTTTTTTCACTTGAATCAACTGAGGTCTTCTTTGCCAGCAATAGATTCTGTTTTTCACGTTCTCAAAAAAAAAAAAAACACCACTTTTTTTTTTTTGAGCAATTTCTTCGGTGCTTGCCCGGAAAAATGCAGAATCGGGAGATTTTTAGTTTTTATTTTTTATTTTTTCCCCACCCCTACCTGGTCTTAAAGGTGTGGTACCTTCGAAAACCTGGTTCGGAAGGAGGGAGAGAGAGAGAGAGAGAGAAAAAAACAAAGGAGGGTAATGAAACGGGGTGAGGGTAACACACCCCACGTCCATTCCACTTGTTCCCATCCCAGCACTCTGGGAGGCCGAGGAGGGAGGATCGCTCGAGGTCAGGAGTTCGAGGCCAGAAAGAGCAAGAGCGAGACCCCGTCTCTACTAAAAAAATAGCAAGAAATTAATTGGCCGACTAAAATATATATAGAAAAAAATAATTATCCGGGGGTGGAGGTGCGTGCCCGTAGTCCCAGCTACTCGGGAGGGAGGCCGAGGCAGGAGGCCGGGAGTTGGAGGCTGCCGTGAGCGAGGCTGACGCCACGGCACTCACTCTAGCCCGGTGGCGGAGGGCGACAGAGCGGGACTCTTGTCTCAAAAATTAAAAAATAACGCAGAGCTCCGCGTGGCAAAATGATGCCCCAGCCCGGAGTCCGGAAGCCGCTGAGGCTGGCCGTGGAGGCCAGAGAGAGAGAGAGAGAGAAAAGGCAGGGAAGAATTTTCTAGAAGGCCAGGGGTTCTGGGGGGGGGAGGGGCGGTCGGAGCAGAGACCCTCCCCCGAACCAGGAGGTTATCGCACCTTTAAAACCCCAACCCCCATCCTCACCCCAGCCTCCCCTGTGGGCCTCCACTGAGCCGTTTTTGGAGTTCAGAGTGGAAACGACGGGAAACAGAGAGAGAGAGAGAGGGTCTCGCACAAAGGTGGGCGGGAAAGGCCGTGGAGGAGGAGATGGGGGTCAGGTTTAGGGTCGGGGGGCGCACTCGGCGTCCTGGGGACCCCCCCTGTCTCATGGGAGGTGGGGGGCGGGGAGGGACTGGGCTTGTTTGTCTGCTCTCCCGCCCCCCCCCATTAAGGTCGGGGTGTTGGGGTCAGGGTTAGGGTCAAGGTTAGGGTTGTTGGGGTCAGGGTTCAGGTCAAGGTTAGGGTTAGGGTTGTTAGGGTCAGGGTCACAGTTAGGGGCAGGGTTGTGAGGGTCAGGGTTACAGTTGTTAGGGTTAAGATCAGGGTCAAGTTCAGGGTTAGGGTCACGGTCAGGGTTATTGTTAGGATCAGGGTTATGGTCAGTGTTAGGGTCACACGGTCAGGGTCACGGTTAGGGTTAGGGTCACGGTCACAGGGTCTCTATCAGGGTTATGGTCAGTGTTAGGGTTAGGGTCACAATGTTTGGGTCACGGTCAGGGTTTGGGTCAGCGTTAGGGTCACAATGTCAGGGTCACGGTTAGCGTTAGGGTTACATCAATCAGTGTCCGGGTTAGGCCACTCCCAGCTCCCCTCTGTCGGGTTACTCTTAGGGTTAGGGATCAGGGTTAGGGTCACAGGGTCATGGTCACAGTTAGGGTTATGGTCAGGGTTAGGGTCACAGGGTCATGGTCACAGTTAGGGTTAGGATCAGGTTAGGGTCACAGTTAGGGTCAGGGTTAGGTTCACAGGGTCACGGTTAGGGTCAGGGTTAGGGTCACAGGGTCAGGGTCACAGTTAGGGTTAGGGTCACAGGGTCACGGTCACAGGGTTACTCAATAAGGGTCAGGCCACTCTCGAACCCCCTCTCCCGCGGGTTTGTACACGTAACCCGGGTGTCCAATCTCCGTCTACACTGCCAGTCGACACCCGGCCCCGATCCCGCGGCCTCCCAACGATTCTTCCCGTCCCTCCTGCCTGTCCGCCCGTCCTCAGTCTCTGTCCTCTGTCTGTGTCCGATTCGATTTTCCTCTGTTGTTGTTATTGTTATTATTATTGTTGTTGTTTTTCCTTTTCCCCATTTTTTTCGAGTCTCCCCCGTGAGCCTGTCTGTCCCGTCCCGTGGGCCGTGTGTGCGAATTGTCACCCCTGTGGGTTTTTCCCGGTGAGGGAACCGGGCGACAGCCGGGAGGACGGTCTTTGGCTGGAGGCCGATGCCCAGTGAAAGGCTGAGACGGGTGCGGTGGCTCACGCCTGTCGTCCCGGCACTCTGGGAGGCCAAGAAGGGAGGCTCGCTCGAGGTCAGGAGTTCCAAACCAGCCTGAGCAAGAGCGAGACCCCCCCCGTCTCTACTGAAAAAATAATAGAAATTAATTGGCCAACTAATATATATATAGAAAAAACGAGCCGGGCGTGGTGGCGCACGCCTGTCGTCCCAGCTACTCAGGAGGGAGGCTGAGGCTGGAGGCTCGGTGGAGGCCAGGAGTCGGAGGCTGCTGTGAGCGAGGCAGACACCACGGCACTCACTCCAGCCCGGGCGACAGAGTGAGACTCTGTCTCAAAAAAGGAAAAAAGCATAATAGGAAAACTCACAGGAGGGAGAGAGGCCAGAACAGCCCAAGAGACAGAGGACAGTGTCTCTCCGTGTCTCTGTGTGTGATTGTGTCTCTGTTTCTTGTCTCTTATCTGTGGTCTCTGTCTCTTGTATCTCATCTCTGTCTCTCGTCTCTCTCTTGTCTCTCATCTCTGTGTCTCTTGTCTCTGTCTCTTATCTCTGTTTCTTGTCTCTTGTCTCTGTCTCTTGTCTCTCATCTCTCTGTCTCTCTTGTCTCTGTGTCTCTTGTCTCTGTCTCTTTGTCTCTGTCTCTTGTCTCTGTCTCTCATCTTTGTCTCTCGTCTCTGTCTCTTTGCGTCTGTCTCTTGTCTCTCATCTCTGTCTCTTGTCTCTCGTCTCTCATCTCTCTGTCTCTCTCCGTCTCTGCCCAACCCTCCCAAAACCCACACCCGTTTTAACCCCGAGCAAGTGGCCACCAGTCTCTCCCGTCTCCTCCCTGTCGACAACCTCCCTGAGACGACCTCTTCTTCTTCTTTTTTTTTTTTCCAATCATTATCATGATGATGAATATTATTATTTTTAACCCAAACGCATCATCGCCCCCAGCCTGGGTCACTCAGCCACGGCGACTCCCTACTTTTATAGCACAAGAAAAAAAAAAAAAACAAGGCCGAGAAACGTGGAAACACGTAGGTCTGGCTCATCGGGACTTCTTCTTCTTCTTCTTTTTTTTTTTTTTTAAAACAAAAAATGCAAAATATTTTTAAGGTATTTTAAAAAAAAAGAAAAAACTTTTGTAAAAAAAAAAAAAATTTGAAAAAAAGGAGGAGGAGGAGGAAGAGGAGGAGAGAGGAAGGTTGAATCCGGGCGGGAAGGTGGGGCGGGCGGGGTCGAGCCCGGCTGGGTCTACACCGGCTTCGTGTGTAAATCTCAGGATGATGTGAATCCCTGTGGTCGCAGCACGGTGGTGGTTGCGGTCGCGGTTGTTGTGGTTTTTATTTTCTATGTTGTTTTTGTTTTTGTTTTTTTTTCTTCCTCCTCCTCCTCCTCCTCCTTCTCTGCTTTTTAGATAAAAAGAAGAAAAAAAATAAATATGTATATCGATATTTTAAATTCATCCTTGCTTCTTTTGTAGAGGAGTTTGTAAAATCACCATGGAAATAAAAACATTTCGTTTTTAAGATCCAACTCGTGTGGCGGGTTTTCTGTTCTTTCGGTCGGTGGCTCTTTCCTTTGGTTTTTTTGGTTTTCTCTGTTTAATTTCTTTCTTTTTTTTTTAAAGTGTTTTATTAAATGTTTAAATTATTAAATGTAAGTCATTAGGAAAGTATTTCATTAAATGTTTAAATTATTAAATGTAAGTCACTATGAAAGTATTTTATTACATTTTTAAATTATTAAATTTAGGTCATTATTAAAGTATTTTATTACATTTTTAAATTATTAAATTTAAGTCACTATGAAAGTATTGTATTAAATTTTTAAATATTAAATTTAAGTCACTGTTAAAGTATTTTATTACATTTTTAAATTATTAAATTTAAGTCACTGTTAAAGTATTTTATTACATTTTTAAATTATTAAATTTAAGTCAGAGTATTTTATTAAATTTTTAGATTATTAAATTTAGGTCACTATTAAAGTATTTTATTACATTTTTAAATTATTAAATTTAAGTCACTGTTAAAGTATTTTATTACATTTTTAAATTATTAAAGTTAAGTCAGAGTATTTTATTAAATTTTTAAATTATTAAATTTAGGTCACTATTAAAGTATTTTATTACATTTTTAAATTATTAAATTTTATTCACTATGAAAGTATTGTATTAAATTTTTAAATTATTAAATTTAAGTCATTGTTAAAGTATTTTATTAAATTTTTAAATTATTAAATTTAAGTTATTATTATAGTATTTTATTACATTTTTAAATTATTAAATTGAAGTCGCTGTTAAAGTATTTTATTACATTTTTAAATTATTAAATTGAAGTCATTAAAGTATTCTATTACATTTTTGAATTATTAAATTTAAGTCACTATTAAAGTATTCTATTACATTTTTGAATTATTAAATTTAAGTCATTTTTAAAGCATTCTATTAAATTTTAAAAACCATTAAATTTAAGTCACTATTAAAGTATTTTGTT